TAATAGGTTTCGATGCTATAATCTCTCATTCTTGAAAATGCTGGAGAATAGAGGCCCTGTCTCCTTAATCTTCCTTCATAAAACACTCCACCATCCCAGGAATTGGAAGGTCAGCCCCTGCTGCACTGCATCTCTGGAAGTATATTCATCTTTTGGAACCTATACATAGCATCTCAGTTGCAATTTCACCAAGGTTCTATAAAATTGAAGCAAGCCATTTTACTGCTGTACTTGAATCTTCTTGCACTAAAGGGCAGCTTTCTATTTGTCTTCCTAATTGCTTGCTGCACTTGATATTAGCTTTCAGTGAATTGTGAACAAGAATAGCCAGGTATTTTTAAACACAAATACTTCAATCTTTTACCATTTAAGAAATACTTTGAACCTTTGTTCCTCCAACCAGAGTGGATGAACTCACATTCATCCACATTATGCACTGTCTACCACGTTCTTCCCACAACCTCCCACTTGTTAGAGTCAGAGTTTTACAAAACGGAAACAGATCCCTCGGTCCAACTTGTCCATGCCAACCAGTTATTCTAAATTAATCTAGTCTCATTAGCCAGCATTTGACCCATATCCCCTAAACCATTGCTATTCATATACCCATCCAGTCACCCTTTAAGTGTACCAATCTCCACCAGTTCCTCTGGCAGCTCATTCCATAAATGCACCACCCTCTGCATGCAAAAGTTGACTCCTAGGTCCCTTTTAAATCTCTCTTCTCACCTTAAACCCTGTTGTTTTTACTTATATCAAGGTGATGCATATCTGGTCCCCAGCTCCAACTTAAAACACAGAAAATAGGAGCAGGAATAGGCCATTCAGCCCTTCGAGACTACTCCACCATTCAATATGATCATTGCTGATCTGTATCTCAACACCATGCCCTTGCTTTCTTTGCATATGCCTTGATGTTTTTAAGCACGTAAAACTGTATCAGTCTCTTTCTTGAATATATTTAGTGATTCAGCCTCCACAGCCGTAATGAAGTCCATAGGTTGATGTCTCAGAATGAAGGAATTGTAAACACCGTGTCGTTTAATTTTTTTTTTTTTTTTTTTAAAAAAAAAGTAGTGGACTGAAATGAAAGAGAAATTTAAAAAACAAAAACAAAAAAAAAAAAAGTGTTTTGCGAGGATTGCCACATGCTTTGAAAAGCAAATAACCCAACACTGTTGGGCAAGTATGGTTTAAACAGCTGCATGAGCAACCAGTTGAGGTTTAGGTTGTAGACAACCTGGTGCCTTATGATTGAACTCTGATTAGCAAATAACAACAACTACAACTAAATAAAAAATTAGATTGGTCAAGGGACAAGTTTCAATTTATCAGTAACAAATTTTGCCTGCCAACAACTGTGGGATTGGTTCTCAGGTAACTGAAAAGCTTGGGGCTCAGAACAAGACAGAACTGATCAGATCTCCACCAGTTTTGGAGCCATCTTTCTCTTCTCAACAGTCAAAACCCAATTTGCAAATCCATTCTGAAGGATCTCCAGACCCAAAACATTAACTCTACTTTCTCACCACAAATGTTGTCAGATATGCTGAGTTTCTCCAACAATTTTTTTTTGTTTCAGATTTCCAGCATCTGCAGTTCTTTGTATTATATTGGTATTGTTGCCATTGTAAGGTGAACCTCCGAAGGTGAAATTCAGTGATTCATATAAAGTAGTTAGAAGAGTTATTAAATTGAATTTATCAAATAAATACTCCTGATTGTAGAGGAAGCAGAATTGGTTATGTCACAAACATACTGAAAAGATATCATTGTTGGGAAGAGAATAAAGTAGAAGGAAGTGTGGTAAGAGAAGTGGAAGCTGACAGAGATAATGACAGTAAGGTAGCAGGAGGTCAATAATTCTCCAAGTGAACCTCCTATAATTTGACCAGCTAATCCAGAATTTTTGGAACAGTTAAACATTGTGTTCTCATATTTAGAGAACAGACAATGTCAGCATCTCGTAAGAGGTAAATCTATATATATACACCTGGATGTACTGTGTTAGCTAGATATGTGGACATAGGAAAGTCAGGACCAAAAAAAACATGCTTATCTGTTAAGCCCAGATGGACAGAGATTCAGTACATCCTGAAAAACCATTTGATTGAACCTAGTCAAAGCAGCTGGCATTCACCAATAGTGTGGTTCCTAAACTGGAAGGATCAACTAGAGACTTTGCATCGATTATAAACATGTGAATGCAGTCAGGAAGACAGATTTATACTCAATTCCATGGTTATAAGCTTACATTGATAGGGTTGGCAACCCTCATGTCCTTTAAAATATTGATCTGTTGAAGGGGTATTGTCAAATGCCATTAACATCAAGAGGTAAAATCAATATCTACTTCTATTAGACTGTATGGCTTATACCAATGCCAAGTAATACCATTTGGATTAAAGAACACCCTAGCTATGCTACAGAGGCTTATGAATTAAATTGCAGCTGAAGTTTGTAACTATAGTGTATTTAGATGTAGTATGTAGCAATACTTGGGAAGAGCATGTGAGATAAGTCAAAGACTTATTTCTTTACAGTTGGCTAGTATTGAATTTAGCCAAAAGTGAATTCACAAAAACAAGGGTAGTTGTTGGACAAGGCAACTTACCAAGGACAGCAAAAGTGAAGGCTCCAATAGAATTCACTATTCCTAAAACTAAACAAGAAAACAAGGTTTCAGGAGTCTGAAGTTCTGTTTTTTTTTTGTTTTTTTTTTTAAAAAAAGTCTTTAACGTTGTGATGACTCCAGAATAATAGAATTGGATTTACAGTGCACTACCCCAAAGAGTCATGACAAAATCTTTCTTCCCTACATGTTCTAAATGGCCTACCCCATATCCTGAAATTGTGACCCTTTATTCCCCAACCAGGGGCCCTTGGTTCCCATCTTCCCTGCATCAGTCTGTCTAGTTCTGTTAGAATTTTATGTGTCAATCAGATCTTCTCATTTTTCTAAAGCCTAGTCATTTCAGGTTTAACAAACTAATCTCTCCTTGTAGAGTAACGCTACCGTCCCTGATATCAGTCCATTGAGCTTTTGCTGCACTTTCTATGGCAAGTATGTCCTCGCTTATGTATTGTCTCCAGGTATAGGATCAAAACTGCATATAATCTTACAGGTACAGTCTCACCAAGAGTCTGTTTATCTGCAGTTATACATCTCTAATACTGAATTCAAACTTCCTTGCAATGAAGGTCAACATACCATTTGCCTTCCTAATTGTATGCTGCATCTGCCTGTCTGTTTTTTTTATTGACTGGTGTACAAGGGCACCAGGTATATTCATTTCACCCAATATACTGAATTTCAGCTGAATGTATTTTCCTAATATAAAATACCAGGAAGTGTTTAAATGTTTTCCATTGCTATTCTACATTATTACTTACCAATTTTGTCCTTTTTAGTTCCCTCAGTTCTATACCCAGGCCCTTACAAAAGTTTTACCTCTAATATATTTGCCTAGTCTTTATTAAACTTATACCCTTCTCAATTATTATTATAAAGCACATTAATTTATGGTTGCTGTTGCTGAGACATTATTCTAGTTTTATTTCTCTTATCTGCTCTGGATCATTTATCATTTTAAGATCCAATAGAGCATCCTCCCATTTGAATGTCTTAGATATCAGAATAGAGACGAGTCCTATCGATATTGTAGGAAGCCCAGGTCCAAATGACTGAACTTACCCTTGCAATGTAGATGAGTACCAAGATACAAAAGCAATAGTGAAAGAAACCAACTTAAATACCCATTAGCAATGAAATGCAGGGAAAGCTGCACAGCACCTCAATCAATTATTATAACAGAAGTTATTCAAAATGAATTTGATGCTTTACAGTTTATTCTTATGGTCATTATGTATAATTTGTATTGATGTAACAGACACATGTTTCTTATAGAGATAGTAGGAACTGCCGATGCTGGAGTCTGAGATAACAAGGTGTGGAGCTGGAGGAACACAGCAGGCCAGGCAGCATCAGAGGAGCAGGAAAGCTGACGTTTCGGGTCTGGACCCTTCTTCAGAAGTAGAGGAGGGGATGGGGGAGGCGGTGACAGAAGGTGGATAGTGGAGCAGATAGGTGGGAGAGAAGGAGGACAGGTCAAGGCAGGTGGGGATGAAGCTAGTAAAGGAGAGAGTGTAGGTAGGAAGTTGGGATGGGGGTTGGTCAGTGAGGTGGGAGGAGTGGATAGAAGGGAGAGAAGACAGACAAGACAGACAGGTCAACAAGGCAGGGATAAGATGGGGGCTGGTCTTCGTATTTGTTCAGGGGTGGGGAGATTTTACAGCTAGTAAAGTCCACATTGAGGGCATTGGGTTGTAGGGTTCCAAGGTGGAATATGAGGTGGTGTTTGTTCAGTTTCCGGGTGGCATCGTTGTGATACTGGAGGCTGCCCAGGATGGACATGTTGTCCAGGGAGTGGGAGGGGGAGTTGAAGTGGTTTGCAACAAAGTGATGCTCCACAAAGTGGTCTCTAAGCCTCTTATACATTGCTGATAAGAAACAATTAACAAAAATAGGCTGCTGAGATAATACATGCAGGTTATGTTTATAAGTGGATTGAAGTATTCAAGATCTTTAGCCAGCATGTTTTGATTGAAAGACACTGCCAATTACAGGAGAAACACAGATTCCTCCCCAAGAACAAGTATTGGAAATTAGGTGGTTACAAAAAAAAAAAAAAAAAAAAAAACAAGCAGCAATAGGCCCAAAACCTACCTGGTTGACTCACCTTTGCTGTCAGTTGCTAAGTGTCATGTAGCACAAGGGGCTAGGTAAAACAAAATAATGTAGGATAAAAGAAAGATGTGCCATAACCTGGTGCTCCCACTAAAATGGAGGCAAATACAGTTTACCCATTTGAACCACTGGATTAAGGAAGCTCTCCTAACCACCACCTCCTCACTCCTCATCCCCATATTTGTTAATGCAGCAACAGTTTGACCAGACAAAATTACAATATTAAAATGGTTCAATTTGCTTCATTCTGCAGGGTAACAAGGGTGAACAAGGAATTCAAGGCATTCAAGGGCAGTATGGCAACAAGGTATAGATCAAAATTCTACAATCAATTATGATAAAAAATTGTAATTCATTTTCATTCTGTCCAAACCCAAGTCTAAATGAACCTGAGGACCAAATGATATTTCTGTAGGTTAATTAAGTGGTTATGTTGAATTTCTGCATATAATTGTGAATTTAAAAAAGTGTTCTGTAGCTCTACTCCATCTTCCACTTTGACTGCCACACCTCAGTTTTGCAACTCTCAGCTTCTCAGTCTATAACATAGAGTAATTCCAGTGTCCAAATAAGTACTGTTATTCTCAAAATTTCTCTAAATTCAACTTTGATTACCATAAGAATATAAAATCTACAGTGCCTGAAAAAGGAGGGCAATACCACTTTAATTGGAGTTTGAATTATTTTTTATTACCCAAGTCAAATTATACCCAAATTGATTTCTGCTTCACATGAAGACTTTGTTTTCAAAGCAATGCTCTGGAAGATTTTGCTAGTACTTTACTGAAATTAATCATAAATCATTGTTTGCAAGATATGGGATTAGCTCATTCATGGAATATTTTTTAAGTTAACTTTCCTGGGTATTACCTAATCCTTTTAATATTTTTGCTAAGATAATCAATCACAATCAATCATACTACACCAGTGAGGAATGTTTATTCATCTAATTCTACTTGATTTAACTGAATACTTAGAATGAATATTAGAGCTTACAAAATCCAAAAAGGAACAAAAGTAAAACACAGCCCTTCAAGACCACTCCACCAATCAATAAGATCATGACTGATCTGTTTGTATTTAAAATTTAACCTTTCCATCTAACCTCTAAATAACCTTTGATTCTCTTGTCTAAAAAGAATCAATCCACCTCTGTCTTAGAAGTATTTAATGAACCTGCCTCCAGCACCTTCTGAGGCAGAGAACTCCAAACTGTCAAAACCTCCTGAGTGAGAAACAAAGTTCTCCCATCTCTGTACTAAATGATCAATCCCTAATTTTAAAACAATGCCCCCATTTCTAGACTAACCACAAGAGGAAACATCCTTTCCACATCCAACATGCCAAGACCATTCAGGACCTTACATACTTCAATCAAGTCACCTTTCACTGTTCCAAACTCCAGTGGATACAAACCCAGCCTGTCCAACCTATATCATTTGACAAACCACTCATTCCAGATATCAATCTAGATTTCCTCCTCCGAACTGCCAAGACATTTATATTCTCCCTTAAAAGTCACTGTTTATCAAATGATCCTCTATTAAGGCTTGATCCACTTTGCTAACCTCATTTTCAAGAACCAGGTCCAACAGTGAAGCCTTTCTGTTGAAAGAGGCATCCTGCCATGGGAAACTCTGCCTTTCACTGCCCCTCAGTGTCAGTCCCAGTGTATATTTGAATAATTGAAGCCCCTGCATCATAATTGCTGTAGAGTGATGGCATTTTTCTGTAATTTTCCTGCAATTTGTTCCTCTGCAAACTTTCCATTAGTTGGTCTATGGTGTAGACTTAGCAATTGAACTGTTCCCCTTTTTGTTCCTTAGCTCTAGCCAAATCGATTCTGCCATTGAAACCTCCAAGACAACTGTTTAGTGGCTCAGTAGTTAGCACTGCTGCCTCACAGCATCAAGAACCTGGGTGACTGTGGAGTTTGCACATTGTGTTTTTGTGGGTTTGCTCTGATTTCCTATCAGTTCAAAGATGTGCAAGTTAGGCTGATTGGCCATGCTATAATGTCCAGGGATGTGCAGGCTAGGTGGGCTAGCCGTGGGAAATGCAGGGTTTAAGGTGTGGGGTGGATCTGGGTGGGATGCTTTTCAGAGGGTTGGTATGGACATGATGGACTGCTTCCACATTGTAAGGATTCTATGACTTAGGACTGTTTCCATTTTGATGAAACCATACTGACTGTTCATGATTACCTTGAATAAGCGTGCAATGTTTTTCTTAATGAGCAATTCTGAAACTATACCCAAGACAGATATCAAGCTAACTGGTCTACACAGTCTCCTGTTTTTGCTTCTCTCCCTTCTTGAATAGAGGGATTATATTTGCTACTTTCCAGACAGATAGAACCATTCCATATGGAAAAATTAACATCAATGTATGTACTAGCTCCAAAAGGACAAAGTATTAAAAATTGGGTTTGATCATTGCAGCTTTTTAAAAGAAGAAAAATAAAAAAAGTTTTTGATTTGTATTAAACAGGGGCGGAAAGGAGAACCAGGTTTACCAGGTCAGCCAGGACAATCTGGAATGCCAGGAATGAAAGGAATAAAGGTATAATGTTTCTATTCTCATTTGTGGCTTGACATTATCTACACAATTAGTTCCTTGGCTCAGCAGATTTATCCAGTGAATTCAGCCGTACAAACTGGGAAGGCTCAGGTTCATCCCTGGTTTGTACCAAACCTCAAAAAGCAGCTGTCAGCTTTCTGGATTGGAAAGAAATCAATTTGGGCTCTTATTATCACTACCCACCTGTAAAAGCCTTCATAAGTAGACTGGCAAACGGGTTGGAGCACACAATAATAAAAGTGACAATTTGAACTGTTTTCTTGTGGATCAATACTCCAGTAATAAATATCACCTTCAGGAATGGAGAGAGGAAATTAGTCAGCTACAAAAAAATTACAAGATATTTAATTTGCTGTATGATATATCACTTTCAATAAATTACAGAATTCAAAGATCCAAATAAGAGCACAGTACAAGTTTATTTTCTCTTGTGGGGGCACTGACTCATCTTGACTCACTTTCCACAGCTGATAGCTATTCTCCAGCTGTCCATCGAGCATCACAGCATAACCTAGTCACCCACAGACAACATAAACATGGACTTTCCAGTAATTAATTGCTCAATGGTAATCAAGAGTGGGAATCTTGGAAAATTTGTTTCTATACTTAACCTGAATCAAACTTCAGATGTCTGCTGCCTGTCTCACTGAGCTAACTCAGGAACATGCTTAAACTAAGCTTGGGATAATCTTGATTACAACTTCGATATCCCAGTGGATAGTATGCTTACCCTACAGGTTATCTGAGGAAATCATTCAGTATCTAGATTATTTGTGTTTTCATTAATATTTAAAAGTTCACAAGTAGGACATGTTTGGGTCTGATTTACTAGTATCAGATTGAGAAGTTGAGTTAGGTTTTAAAACAATTGACATATGTAACTTGGATATGATTACTGCATTGGGAGCATTGCTATGTAACCGTAGTGGCAAATAAATACTCTCTTGGGCATCATCAGTGGGGATGAATTCCAAGCCCCACCAGTGAGAAACTTCTGCCAGAAGAAAATCAGTCAGCCATTTAAATACTTACTGATTTCTTGGCCTATCAGAAGTCCTTGCCACTGAAATCCTCCCTGGCCAGAAGTTGCTAGAAATCAGACAACAGCAGCTACTCGCAGCTGGTGTTGCTGGAGGTAAAGGCCTGGGACTGGTGAGAAGGTTTTTTTCAGGACTACTGCAGGTTAGGGTTGCAGGGAAAGAGGGATCAGGTTGATCAAAAACAAGGGCAGGGGAGCAGCTTCCAGGGACACAGCCCTCCTCCCCAATCAAACCCAGTTACCCACAGATTGGGGAAAACAGAGGTCATCTCCCAAACCTAGTAGGTAGGCTGCTTTGGTTTCCATGTCAGGAAAGCAACCACTTATATTGCCTATGTCTTGGATCACAGCATGTATCCAAGCAGTTCTTTTCAGATTCAGGAAAATATAATTGAGACAGGGCTTGACCACAGCTATTTGCTTAAATATGAATATTATAGTGGTAATAACAAATGGAAGAGAAAAAAAAAAATCAACAAGTCTCACACCCTTCTAGAGAAAGCAACAAGTCTCACGCTCTTCTGTCTGTCAGGGGCCCCTCAATTGATGGCTGGTTGGAGGCTTAGGTTCGTTCCTAGCACCATTCACGATTCCGAGCCAAGGCAAAGTCCCACAACTTGGAACAAAACTTCCTCTCGTATACAATGTAACAAACAACCAGCACAAAGAAAGGAGATACAGAAGACAAAACACAGCTACAGAAAAACAAGTTGCAGGTGCCATCTTCAGCCCATGAAAGGAGTGTTAACAAGACTCAAGGCTTTTCTGAAGGGTCCCAACCCAAAATGTCAACTTTCCTGCTCTTCTGATGCTGCCCGGCCTCCAGTGCTCCTCTAGCTCCACACTTATCTCAAAGGTCATTTGGCTTGTCGAGTATTGTCAACAATTTTAGCTGCTCAGCCCATCCTATACAATCTATCTTCTCATGCAGCTGTAGAATATCCTGACTTTTAGCCCTTTGACCCATCATATACACCCCACCCTGATATTTGACAGTGCATGTCACAATTGCAAATACAGGCACAAATCAGTGACAGCTGCACAAGAACGTTTAATAAAAGTATGTAACCTGCACTGGAAGATTAAAACTACAATGAAAATAACTAGCTTCGTTACAAAGAATGCAACAATAGGGTGTATTGTCAAATTAATGATCACAGTGCCCTTTGGGGGCCGATCCTTAAATATGTATATACCACCCTGATGTATGGTCAAGGCCGTGATGGAACCAGCAAGTCATGCCACGTGACTGAGGTGACCAGAATATCGCCTACATTCTTTTTCAGTTAATATACTTACATAATTAGCTCTAAAATTAAGTATATTCCAGATTCAGGTTCCTTAATTTAAGATCCCTCCCAGTTCCCTATTCACAGACTCCTACACCATCTGAATCTGAGCTCAGCCTTTTTTCACATACACCAACTGCCCTAAGACATTACAATTCCACCTACTTGTTTAGTCATAAAAATGCTCAAGATGGGGTATATGTATGTCATCTGATGGGCCCTTTCACTCAGTCCACCATTACTCCTCCCAGAGTCCATATTCTTTCATTTCTGTAACATCTTGACATAATAACCAATCACACTTCTTATTTTAATTGTAATTCTTCTTACATCCCTGTCACTAATACCACTTCAATTGTTTTAAAGTCAGTTTTTCTATGGATTTTGTGTCAGTGTCATATTGTTTAAACTATGTTTTTGTGCCATTCCGAGCTATACTAATCCTTTAGCCAAGTAGGCATACATGTCGGAGACCTGTTTTTCAGTGCATTTTTTTTTTTAAAAAACCATCTCATGTTTGTTAACTGCATGGTAACATTCACGTTTGCACACTTACAATCGGTTTCCCAAGACCATGAAACACATTCTTGACTCCCATGTGATCTTATCAAATGATCAATAAGGTTTTACTTATCTTTTCATATATGGACCCAATGCCTTGGGTAGTGGCTTAATCACCAACTCTGTCTTTCTTTTATAAGAAAGACAATGACAAACATCACCAAGAGAAAGCTTTCAGTTTGGTGCTCTCTTCTAAACTTACTTTTCACTAAGATGCACCATAACCTCAATTGCTGTTTCAACCCATTATTCTAATTTTTTGTCTTCTGCCACCAGTCTCCACCCTTGATTACTTCATCTCCTCCAATTTTACAACTGAACTATTACCACCATATCTAATTCCAGAGATCTGTAGAGATTTATAGTCCATGGAACATAATCTTGTAATATTTTAAAACAGAAGTCAAACATTTGTTTGATTCAGGCAAACCATATGTCATTCGTTCTTTCGCCAAGATGACCCACTTTTTTTTTTTTTTTTTTTAAAGAAACATTACTTGATATTGCATTCTAGATATTTGATACATCTGAAAATTTGTCAAAATTCAATATTTGGTTTACTCCTCCAAAGTCACTAACCATTTTCATGCATTGAAACCATTGAGACCATGTGCATATACTTTATTTCCCAGAATCCTTCAAATTTTCAGGTAACTATTCCATTTAAATACTTTAGAATACCAGGGCATGTGAGAGAGTCTTAACAGTTTTTGTGATGATGCACTTAAGTGTACCTAGACTTACTGGTTTTGGGATTCCTGACACTCACTAAAATTAGTATTTCCACCATACTTCCCAAACACTGAAATGTGCTATTGATGAATGACTTGATAGGTTGAGGGTATCTCATCCATCACTATATTGTGACATTGAAATTCTGCAAATAGATTCAACCTTCAGTGTCTCCAATTTCTAAATAAACCAAACAAGCTCCATCCATTCCACATCAAGCTGATGAGATTAATTAGCATTAATCTACTTGGGATTCAAAAAGGCAGTGGGGTATAAACTCCTGAACTTAATTACATCATGTCTCTCCTCCAAGTAAGGAAAACTCCAACCCTTTATTAAATTTGCCTTTCCTGAACTCCTTGCACACAGAGTTACATATTCAACACTCCAATGTCCCTATCACTTGGATATTAAAAATATATGAGTCAATCTTATCATCAGGAATTAAAGACTCACTCATGTTCAAATTGTATTTGAAGTTCAATCTGAAAGGAATATGAAATTCCAGACATGGTGATTTCTGGAATTAAAATTTACCCAAGTCCAAACACAGAGCCAATTGCAAAAGATAAAATTTATCAAGCTTTACAAGCCAAATTTTTGAATCAAAATTTTACAGATGATTTTTGATTTACACAACCACTGATGGTTTCTTAAAAGGACATTACATTAACAATACATGTCCCACACTAATACAGGCACACACCACACTTTCAATTCAACAGACATTCCCAAAATGCAAACTAAAACTTCAAGAAGTATCCCCAGATCTCAAGCTCCAGGGAACAAAAAGACAAACTGTACAAGACAACATTTAGCAACCAAAAAAACAAAGGTGCATTCAAACCAGACCACAAAGAGTTAACACTTCTACAAGGTTCAGTGAACCTGCACAGCACAGAAACCTGGCCTCTAGTTGTTTCTTTTTCTCCAGTTATAACCATCCCCAATCCTTTCAAGGGTCCTAGTTGTGCTAATATGTTACCTTCAGACCCAAATCCAAGTCTGCCACATTCCACCCCTGGAATCTAGGGCATCAGGTTGCTTTTCCCTTCTCTTACACATTTTCCCCAAATCCCATCCCTAATTGCTAAATATGTCTGGATCACAGCATGTAACCAAGTGGTTCTTTTCAGATTCAGGTAAATATAATTAAGAAAAAGCTTGACAACAGCAATTTGCTTAAACATGAATGTTTATTAAGTAATAATGAATTACTATTGTGATAATATTAAATGGAAGAAAAGAAAACAAAAAGAAAAATCAACAAGTCTCACATCTTTCTGGCCATCAGGGTCCCTCAATCAACAGTTGGTCTGGAACCTTAGGTTCATTCCTGGTACCGAGCTGAGGCAAAGTCCTGTGACTTAGAACAAAACTCTGTCTCTTATACAGTGTAATAAACAGCCAATACAAAGAAAGGAAGTACAGAAGACAAAACACAACTGCAGAAAAACAAGTTGCAGGTGCCATCTTCGGCCCGTAAAGGAGTGTTAACAAGACTCATCCAGTGTTATGCAACTTGTTGAGTATCATCAACAATTTTAGCCATTCAGTTCATCCTATACAATCTATCTTCTCATGCAGCTGTTGAATATCATCATTAACTTTTAGTCCTTCACCCATCCTTTCCAGCCTACCAGATAGGTGAATAATTAGGCCAATGCCAGATTGAGGCCCTTAAGCACTGAAGTGCCTTAATTGATGATGGCTCATTGCTTTTCCCACCTGGAACGTGATTGGTGAAGTGGCAAGAAGAGAACAAGTATCGCATCAATGCAATACTAAACAAAAACCAAAAGAACTGTGGATTCTGTAAATCAAGAACAAAAACAGAAGTTGCTGGAAAGGCTCAGTAGATCCGGCAGCATCTGTGAAGAAAAATCTGAGTTAATGTTTCAGGTCCAGTGAACTTTCCTGAGAACTCTGTTTTTTCTTCACAAATGCTGCCAGACCTGCTGACCTTTTCCAGCAACATGTTTTTGTATCTCATCATTGTGAATCAGCTTGATTATTTGCCCTTCCCATCATCTGTCCCACCGCCTCTAGGAGGGTAAAATCCCATCCTGTACTTCGTTATAGCATTTAAAATGGTACCAATTTTATTTTGCATTTTGTTGTCAACAAGCATAATTGAATGGTAGCATGTATTTAGACAATACTGTAATAATAAGGGCTCTGGCAGAACCAAGGCTGGAAAACTTTGTGGCTATTAACTGTTTTCCTAACTCCCAAAAGCCTGTGTATGATTAGTAGGGGAGAGAGTGGTATATCGTGGTAATATCACTGGACTAGTAAGCCAGAAGCCAGGCTAATGTGCTGAGAGCATGGGTTTGCATTACACGTGGGTGGTGAAATTTGGATTCAATTAATAAAATCTGAAAGTAAAAACTGATCACAGTGATTGTTATAAAAGCCTATCTGGTTCACTTGCCCTTTTAAGGAAGGTAAATCTGCCATGCTCACCTGGTTTGGCCTACATGTGGCTACAGACCAGAAGCAATGTGGTGACTTTTAAGCGGCCTTTGAAACAGGCTAACAAATCAGCTAAAGGGATGATGGCCTTGCATGCAACAGCCACATCCCTTAAAGGAAAAAAAGCATTATACAAGTCTGGAATGTTGTGCGATACTCTCTACTGACCTTGGTGAATTTTTTTTTTAATTCATTCATTGGATGTGGGCATGGCTGGCTAGGTCAGCATTTATTGCCTGCCTCTGAATGCCCTGAAGAAAATGGTAGTGAGTTGCCTTCTTGAACCGCTGCAGTCCTCATAGTGTAGGGATATATATAGCGCTGTTGAGAGAGTTCCAGGTTTGGAAGGTGCTATTGAAGGACCTTTGGTTTATTACTGCAGTGCATATTGTTGATAGTAGCAGCCAGTGCACAATGTGAAGGGTATCAATATTGAAGGTGGTGAATGAGGCCAATCAAGCAAACTGCAGCCATCAGGCAAGTGCATCACACTCCTAACTTGTACATTTTAGATAATAGACAGGCGATATAAGACGTGGGTTACTCGCAGTATTCCTTGCCTCTGACCTGCTCTTGTAACCAAGTTATTTGTATGGCTGGCCCAGTTAAGTTTCTAGTAAATGGTAACCTCCAGAGTTTTGATCATGGAGGATACATTGCAGTAACTCACTAATTTCCTTAGATAGCACCTTCTAGACTTGTGACCTCTACCAATAATGACCAGAACAGCAGATGGATGGAAACACCACCACTTACATGTTGCCCTTCAAATCACACACCTATGTGACTTAGAATTATATCAATGTTCCTCCACTATCATTGGGTAAAAATCTTGAAGCTTCATCCCTAATAGTGTTGTGGGTGTCCCTACACCCCAAGGACAGCAGCAGTTCGATAAGGTCTGGTGAGCGACATCCATATCTCATGAATGAACAAAAAGAACTCATGGGAAGATGGTTAGACATTGTATAGGAGATAGTCATGTCTCATGTGATATGAATGTCACTTGCTATTTATCAACCCAAGCCTGTATATTGTTCAGGTCATGCTTCAGTATCAGTCCAGGATTGTTTCAGTATCTGTGGGATTATGGTGCTGAACACTGTACAGTCATAAGCAGTAGTAATGCCATGAAACATCGAGGGTTTATGGTCAGATCCTGTCTTGTTGAAGGAGTTCATTGCTGGGCACTTGCCTGTATGAGAACATGGACTGTCTCAGTCATTGCAAGTAATGCTGAGCATTGTGCAATCATTAGCAAGCATCCCCAATTGTCGCCTCAGAATGGAGGTACAGTCATTGATGAAGCACATTAAGATTGTAGAACCTGGGACACTACCCTGAGGAATTTCTGCTGGTATTATCGACTTCCACCAAACAGACCCACCTTCCTTTATGTTAGGTATGACTCCAACCAGAAGAGTTTGCCCCCGATTCCCATTGACTTCAGTTTTGTGAGGGCTCCTTGGTGCATTACTTCATCACCGGGTTGACACCTCATTTTTCAGAATGCTTGGCGCAGCTCCTGGCATGCCCTCTTGCACTCTTCATTGAACCCAGGTTGAACTCCCAGTTTGATAGTAATTGCAGAGAGAGAAATATGCTGTGCTAATGAAAAAGTTATGGTTGAATATAATTTTAATGTAACTTATCCCATTTCCACGCCATGGTTGCTTTACACAATACAATGGAGGGACACATTGTATCCCGTCCACTGCAGCAATGTGCCCTGTCTACTGCAGCAAAATTGTACTGCAGCAACTTGGAGGAAGAGAATGGGAAGTTAATCGTGAGGAATACAGAAATGGCGGACACCTACATCAATATTTTGCCTCAGTTTTCACAGTAGAGGACACTGGTTATTATCCTAATAGTAGCAGGTATTGCAGAAGTTATAGGAAGGGAGAAACTTGAAATGAACAAGAAGAACTCATGGGAAGATGGTTAGACATTGTATAGGAGATAGTCATGTCTCATGTGATATGAATGTCACTTGCTATTTATCAACCCAAACCTGTATATTGTTCAGGTCTTGCTTCTCCTGCCAGTCACAATCCAGAGTTATATATTGTCTTTCAGGAGAGGAAATTATTTCAAGTTGTCATCACAAGGGAAAAAGTACTGACCAAAATCTTGGGATTAAAGGCAGATAAGTGCCCAGGGCCTTATAGCCTCCATTTTTTGCAGCAGCAGCAGAAGTGGGAGCAGTGAGAGCGAGGACCAAGGGTCTGCCGGGAGGTAAGTTTCCCAGTTAAAAACATACCTTGTGCAATCAGCGGCCTCCATTTTTTGCTGCAGTAGCGGGAGCAGTGAGAGCGAGGACCAAGGGTCTGCCGGGAGGTAAGTTTCCCAGTTAAAAATGTACCTCGTGCAATCAGCGGACTCCATTTTTTGCAGCAGCGGGAGCAGTGAGAGCGAGGACCAGGAGCCTGCCGGGAGGTAAGTTCTTCTTTTCGGCAGCGGAACTGAGTGGGAGCGGTCGAATTGCGCTCTCGGCACATGAGTGAATTGATATATTTGGGCAGTGGCTAAACCCTAGACACTACACGTGTAGTGTCTCCCACCCACCCTCCTCCTCTGACCAAAAAAAAAGACTCTGGTGTGTTGATAAGGTAAGTGTTTTTCTTTATCTTTTTTTAATCGTGTGCTGGTAAGTAGAGTGATTTGGTACAAATTTTTTTCATTTCATTTATCTAGTATTTGATATTATAGTAGGACTAAGTTAAGATTAAGAGTAAAAATGGCAGGAGATCCCAGACCCGTGTTATGCTCCTCTTGCTCAATGTGGGAGCTCAGGGACACGGCTGATGTCCCTGACTCCTACACGTGCAGGAAGTGTGTCCAGCTGCAGCTCTTGTTAGACCGCATGATGGCTCTGGAGCTGTGGATGGACTCACTTTGGAGTATCCGCGATGCTGAGAAAGTCATGGATAGCACGCTCAGCAAATTGGTCACTCCGCAGATTAGGATTGCTGAGGGAGAAAGGGAATGGGTGACCAAAAGGCGGACAAAAAGCAGGAAGGCAGTGCAAGTGGCCCCTGCGGTCATCTCCCTCCAAAACAGGTATACCGTTTTGGATACTGTTGGGGGAGATGGCTCACCAGGGGAAGGCAGCAGTAGCCAGGTTCATGGCACCATGGCTGGCTCTGCTGTACAGAAGAGCGGGAAAAAGAGTGGAAGGGCTATAGTCATTGGGGATTCAATTGTAAGGGGAGTAGATAGGCGGTTCTGTGGTCGAAAACGAGACTCCCGAATGCATCTGCAGTTCCTACTATACCGAATGGTATGTTGCCTCCCAGGCGCAATGGTCAGGGATGTCTCAGATCGACTGCAGGACATTCTGAAGGGGGAGGGTGAACAGCCAGCTGTCGTGGTGCATATAGGCACCAATGATACAGGTAAAACACGGGATGAGGTCCTACAAGCAGAATTTAGGGAGGTAGGAGCCAAGTTAAAAAGTAGGACCTCAGAAGTAGTAATCTCAGGATTGCTACCAGTGCCACGTGCTAGTCAGAGTAGAAATGAAAGAATAGGCAGGATAAATGAGCGGCTTGAGAGATGGTGCAGGAGGGAGGGGTTCAGATTTTTGGAACATTGGGACCGGTTCTGGGGAAGGTGGGACTATTACAAATCGGACAGTCTACACATGGGCAGGACTGGAACCAATGTCTTAAGGGGTGCTTTTGCTAGCGCTGTTGGGGAGGGTTTAAACTAATGTGGCAGGGGGATGGGAACCAAATGAGAAGGGTAGTGGACTGTAAGGAGGTAGTAACTAAAGCCTGTAAGGAGCTAGATAATGAAGTCAGTGTGACTAAGGGGAGGAGTAGGCAGAGAGCAGATGATGAACGCAAAGGGACAGGTGGCCTGAGGTACATTTGTTTTAATGTGAGAAGTGTAGTAGGTAAGGCAGATGAACTTAGGGCTTGGATTAGTACCTGGGAGTATGATGTTATTGCTATTACTGAGACTTGGTTGAGGGAAGGGCAAGATTGGCAACTAAATATCCCAGGATATAGATGCTTCAGGCGGGATAGAGGGGGAGGTAAAAGGGGTGGAGGAGTTGCATTACTCTTCAAAGAGGATATCACAGCTGTGCTGAAGGAGGGGACTATGGAGGACTCGAGTAGTGAGGCAATATGGGCAGAGCTCAGAAATAGGAAGGGTGCGGTAACAATGTTTTGGCTGTACTACAGGCCTCCCAACAGCGAGCGTGAGATAGAGGCACAAATATGTAGACAGATTATGGAAAGATGTAGGAGCAACAGGGTGGTGGTGATGGGAGATTTTAATTTTCCCACATTGACTGGGATTCACTTAGGGTTAGGGGTTTAGATGGAGCAGAATTTATAAGGAGCATCCAGGAGGGTTTTCTAGAGCAGTATGTAAATAGTCCAACTCGGGAAGGGGCCATACTGGACCTGGTGTTGGGGAACGAGTCCGGCCAGGTGGTTGAAGTTTCGATAGGGGATTACTTTGGGAATAGTGATCACAATTCCGTAAGTTTTAGAATACTGATGGACAAAGACAAGAGTGGTCCTAAAGGAAGAGTGCTCAATTGGGGGAAGGCCAACTATAGCAAAATTCGGCAGGAACTGGGGAATGTGGATTGGGAGCAGCTGTTTGAGGATAAATCCACATTTGATATGTGGGAGGCTTTTAAAGAGAGGTTGATTAGAGTGCAGGACAGACATGTCCCTATGAAAATGAGGGATAGAAAGGGCAAGATTAGGGAACCATGGATGACAGGTGAAATTGTGAGACTAGCAAAGAGGAAAAAGGAAGCATACATAAGGTCTAGGCGACTGAAAACAGATGAAGATTTCTAAGAATATCAGGAAAGTAGGACCAATCTGAAATGAGGAATTAAGAGGGCTAAAATATCTTCAGCAAACAGGGTTAGGGAAAATCCCAAAGCCTTTTATTCATGCATAAGGAGCAAGAGGGTAACTAGAGAAAGGCTTGGCCCACTCAAGGATAAAGGAGGGAAGTTTTGCGAGGAGTCAGAGAAAATGAATGAGATTCTTAATGAGTACTTTGCGTTGGTATTCACTGACGAGAGGGACATGATGGATGTTGAGGTTAGGGATAGATGTTTGATTACCCTAGGTCAAGTCAGCATAAGGAGGGGGAGGGAGTGTTGGGTATTCTAAAAGGCATTAGGGTGGACAAGTCCCCAGGTCCAGATGGGATCTGTGTTGGGACCACTGTTATTTGTGATATACATAAATGATCTGGAGGAAGGTATAGATGGTCTGATTAGCAAGTTTGCAGATGACACTAAGATTGGTGGAGTAGCAGATAGTGAAGGGGACTGTCGGAGAATGCAGCAGAATATAGATAGATTGGAGAGTTGGGCAGAGAAATGGCAGATGGAGTTCAATCCAGGCAAATGCGAGGTGATGCATTTTGGAAGATCCAATTCAAGAGCGAATTATGTGGTAAATGGAAAAGCCTTGGGGAAAATTGAGGCACAGAGAGATCTGGGTGTTCAGGTCCATTGTACCCTGAAGGTGGCAACGCAGGTCGATAGAGTGGTCAAGAAGGCATACGGCATGCTTTCATTCATCCGACGGGGCAATGAGTACAAGAGTTGACAGGTCATGTTACAGTTGTATAGGAATTTGGTTCGACCACATTTGGAATACTGCGTACAGTTCTGGTCGCCACATTACCAAAAGGATGTGGATGCTTTGGAGAGGGTGCAGAGGAGGTTCACCAGGATGTTGCCTGGTATGGAGGGTGCTAGTTATGAAGAGAGGTTGAGTAGATTAGGATTATTTACATTAGAAAGACGGAGGTTGAGGGGGGACCTGATTGATGTTTACAAAATCATGAGAGGTATAGACAGGGTGGATAGCAAGAAGCTTTTTCCCAGAGTGGGGGACTCAATTACTAGGGGGTCACGATTTCAAGGTGAGAGCGGAAAAGTTTAAGGGAGATATGCGTGGAAAGTTTTTTTCGCAGAGGGTGGTAGGTGCCTGGAACGCGTTGCCAGCGGAGGTGGTAGAGGCGGGCACGATAGCGTCATTTAAGATGTATCTAGACAGATACATGAATGGGCAGGGAGCAGAGGGATACAGATCCTTGGAAAATAGGCGACAAGTTTAGATAGAGGATCTGGATCGGCACAGGCTTGGAGGGCCGAACTGCCTGTTCCTGTGCTGTAATTTTCTTTGTTCTTTGTTCTATCATACAGTCTTAAAGGAAGTGGCAGCAGAAATAGTGGATCCACTGGTTTTACTGTTCCAAATTCCCTGGATGCTGGAAAGGTTCCAGGGAATTGGGAAAATACTAATATAATGTCTTATTCAAAAAAGGAGGGAGGCAGAAATTAGGAAACTAAAGACCAGCTCGTTTAACACGTGTCATTGGAAAATTATTAGAATCTATTATTACGGAAGTAATAGCAAGACATTTGATAAGTCAAGACGCAATCCATCAGAGTCATTATGGTTTAATGAAGAGCAAATCGTGTTTGACTAATTTCATTGAGTTCTTCAAAGATGTAACTAGCAAAATAGATAATAGGGATCCAGTGGATTGGTAGATCTGGACTTTCAGAAGACATTTAATAAGTTGCTACACAATAGCTTAATACACAAGGTAATATCATGTATTAGGGGTAATGTATTAATTTAGATAGAGGACTGACTAACCAAAAGAAAGCAGAGAATCAGAATAAAGGCGGCTTTTTCTGGTTGTCAAGATGTAACTCATGGTATGCCTTAGGGTTTGATCCTCCAACCCCAACTATCTACAATCTATATTAATTACTTGGATATAGAGATA